CCAACCACTATCCAAGCTACACACCAACTACATCATCGCCTTAGCTACACACTAGATAGCATGCATCAAACAGATAAACTCTCCATAAACTTTGGAAAATTACCTAATTCTCCGTGTTACGCTATAGCCTACGGCGTCACAACCTACCGTTAACATATTAGCGCCCCCCACCAACCTTACCCCCCACCCCCCCACCGTTTTACCTTGATACGCCTCTGGCTCCGTGATAACCTTACCTACTGAAAACCAACACGACACAAAAAAAAAACGAAACATTTTTTTTTCCGACGAATACCCTATTTGCTACTAATCGATGACATTTGAATCAACACGCTGTCATTACAATGTCATGTCCTGACATTCCGTGTGGATGTCGAACCTACACACGAAACTTAGTCAACTTTTCTCAAACAATTTTACAATTACAAATCCCCGCCTACGTTCATTAGATTGGTATATAGATGAACTATGATATACAAAAAATTATTCTATTTCGATTAAAAAAAAACACATGGAAATTGCTTGATGTTTTTTAGGGAGAAAATTGTGGTAGAAATTACTTGCTAATCGGTGGTTGTACTAGATTGTTTTCAAGAGTGACGCAAGATTAAAAAATGAACTGTTGTTATGTTCACTGTGTATAGTTCACTTTTAGATTACTCGCTATGTTTCACTTCGATGAAGCACGTTCTTAATTTAATGTAAAGTTATTTTTAGATGGTATCCGTTGGGAAAGTGGGCTAACCCACCCCCACCACATCCCATAGTGACGCCACTGGTTCCATTTTAAATTTAATGTTGGCGTCACACAAGTGGGGCGCGGGACCACACCAGGCGACTCCAGCAATGGACGACGTCAAAAGTCTGCCGTTTGACAGACAAGACTAATGTCTGTCGAGTTGGTTACGTGGCGGGTTGGAAATGAAATAACGTATGCCCCACCAACCCCCGGCGTCAGGTGGTTTATGAATGGGGTTCATGTGGTACAGGGTTTATGAATGGGGTTCATGTGGTACAGGGTTTATGAATGGGGTTCATGTGGTACAGGGTTTATGAATGGGGTTCATGTGGTACAGGGTTTATGAATGGGGTTCATGTGGTACAGGGTTTATGAATGGGGTTCATGTGGTACAGGGTTTATGAATGGGGTTCATGTGGTACAGGGTTTATGAATGGGGTTCATGTGGTACAGGGTTTATGAATGGGGTTCATGTGGTACAGGGTTTATGAATGGGGTTCATGTGGTACAGGGTTTATGAATGGGGTTCATGTGGTACAGGGTTTATGAATGGGGTTCATGTGGTACAGGGTTTATGAATGGGGTTCATGTGGTACTGGGTTTATTTCTGGGGGAAGCAGCTGGCGCTCTGTCATTGAATAGGCGTCAGTGATTGTCTATGCGTCAGTGATTGTCTATGCGTCAGTGATTGTCTATGTGTCAATGATTGTCTAAGTGTCTAGAATTGTCTACATGATAATAACTAAACCAATGACGGGCTTAGTGTCGATGATTCTCTATGGATGATAAAGCTCAATAAACAATTTATTCGTACCCAATGTACCCCACCCCACCTAATAAACTATTTGTACCTAATTCACTCCACTCCACTCCCCTCCCTCCCCCTCCCCCCACAAGTTTTTTTTATTATTGCCCCCCCCCCCCCCCTCGTCACTCTTCCACATATACCAATGAAACATGTTATAAATTCTACTTTTATTACATAAACTGTCACTTTCGTTAACTGGTTCTTGTATATCTATCTGCAGTGTTTCTTCTTGAATTTTTTCTCAGGGGGAGTAGGGGTACTTGATATTTCCGGGGGGGGGGGGGGGGGACACTAGTAAAAGTATATGTTTACATCTCGTTCGGGGTGGATGATGGGGCGGTAGACTTTCTTCGCGGGGGGGGGGGGGGGGGACGAGCCAAGAGATGCCTGGAAGAAACTCTGTCTATCTGTCACCTATTTTACCCTTTTAAGCTTGAGTTGTATGCTTTTTAGTAAACTTTATGAGAATTAACTGGGTATGATGCTAAACTTCATGAGAATTAACTGGTATGATGCTAAACTTTAGGGCAACAAGTTGTATATGGTACTAAACTTTAGGAGAACTGTGTATGCTGCTAAACTTTAGAATTAACTGTGCATAATACTAACCTTTAGGAGAACTAACTGTGTGTGATGCTAAACTTTAAAATAACTAACTGTGTGTGATGCTAAACTTTAGGTCAGTTTAGGAGAACTAACTGTGTTTGATACTAAACTTTAGGAGAACTGTGTATGATGTTAAACTTTAGGAGAACTAACTGTGTACGCTTGCCATTCATCAGAAGACAGCTCATCCCATATACCCATTGTGTGCTGATGTGCCTAAGAACATCACCAAAGCGGTGATGTTGTCAACGACGCCGACATGATATCTCATTACATCGGCCACCGACTGCCGAGTTCATTACAACCCTGACTCATTTAACTAATTAACTGCTCTTCAAATCGATTAGTCGCTCGTGTAATCTATTTTTTAAGCCACGAAACAATTCACATTTCGTTGTTTGATTTCGTTGCCAATTTAAAAGATCGAAATTCAGTAAAATAATTTTTTTAGATAATTTAATTGTTTGATTTTTTAAACGTTATATTAACGTTTTTTATATGTTGAACAAAATTTAGAATGATTAGCTTTATTTATATCGTAGGACTTTCAGTAATATCGTTAGTTATAAGTTAATGCCATTATGTTTGAATGTCTAAAAACATTGTAATAAGATTAATTACTATTTTTCTGTTTCAGTTTTAGTGTTGAATAATACTTCTGCCAAATTTTTGCAGATACAAAAGTATTTTGTTTTTAATGTCGACTTGATTTATTAAATTAATTACTTAATTAAATTAGATCTAGACTTGCTGAAAATATGTTGCCGTATTATGTACTATGTCCGCTGACCGTTCGAGTTTATACCCCCATCGCCATGGGATGGCTTAGTTTTAGTATTCTTATCTTGGTTAGCATTCGAAACTATAGTAGTTAAAAGTTGAGACAAAATTAATTAAAAGTAATTAGGACGATATAATTGTAGAGATTGATTTTGAAAGATCGGTCAAAGATTTTAATGACACCTCAATGTCTTAGTGTAGGTCTATATCAAACTGGGATTAGTACTAATTGAATTATTGAAAGTTACTGACGTCTATACGTACATGTTATATCAAACTGTGATTTTTAATATTGTAATTAAAAGTTAATGGCATCTCAATGTCTATTTATATTTAACTGTAATATGTTAATTGAAAGTTAATTAATATATTTTTGTCTCTGTTATAGATGCACACTTAAATGTGTAATAATTTAATTATAAATTAATAACATTTGACTGTTTTTTTTACATAAAATTGCAATTTAATTAAAAGTTAATGACATTTCAATGTCTCCCTGAAAGTTAGTGACATCTTAATGTCTTTTTATATTAAACTGTAATAATTTAATTGAAAGTTAATGACATCTATATATGGCCTACCTGTATAATCTCGTGCTGTGTTTAAATATGTAAATTTAATGATAATGATAATTCAATGTCTGTATTGTTTGAAAGTGTAATAATCAAATTAAATGATAAGGATTTTCAATGTCTGTGGTATATGAAAGTGTAATAATTAAATTACAAGTTAATGAGATCTATGTAACGAAGCTGTCTTGTAGGCCTATATCATATCGTGGTTTTAGCACAGTGACAACATTATGTTTTATTTCTAGTGATATTCAAGTGTTATTGCTGTATTTAGTAGGTACCCTGCAACTTTCTCCAGTAAGAAGCTGGTCAGATGATCAAATATTGTAATCGTAGAATAATCAGCTATGAAGAAAAGTAAATGGTGGTAAATCTATTTTTTTTAATGGTGGGGTAACCTGTTATAATAATTAATTAGTGAGATAATGAGTTCTATTTAAAGTCACAAAATGCTGTATTAATTATCTGTGGTCAGGTACTGGCGGTGGTCTTCTAACGGTTTGGTAAGGTCTAAGTTCATTGAATTAAAATGGTGGGATTCATCAATGTAATTTTAAAAAATCATTACGGTACATTGCTGAAATTCGTTACATTTAAATTATAAAAACCTTTACGCTTACACCACGGTATCAATTCCACTGTTTACTAGAACTTTACCAAAGTCTGGGGTCATGGGATATTTAATTGAGGAGATTCCACAAAAGTCATGTAGTGAGTAACATTTAACTTAAGGGGTGGTGGGGGCTATAGAACTGCGGTTTGTCCTCAAAATGTGGGATTTAAAGATGGTGTTGTAGGCTTGGGATGTTCAATGGCATATCCGTGTCTCATTTTGTGATGTGTCTCATATATCCGTGCCGCATATATATCTGTGTCGCATTTGTATAGGTATCATCTGTGTCGCATATTTGTCTGTGTCTCATATGTGATTGTCTCATGATATATCTGTGTCGCATTTGTATCTGTATCTTATTATAAATGTCTCTCGCATGTGTCTTTGTCTCATAATATATCTGTCACATATGTGTCTTTATCTCAAAATATATGTGTCGCATATGTGTCTCCATCTCATATGTGTCGCATTATAAATGTGTCGCATATGTGTCTATGTCTCATGATATATCTGTGTCGCATTTGTATTAGTATTTCATCTGTGTCGCCAAAGTGTTTGTGTCTCATTGTAAATGTGTCTCGCATGTGTCTTTGTCTCATTATGTATCGCGTCACATGTGTCTGTCTGATTTTATATATATATATATATATATATATATATATATATATATATATATATATATATATATATATATATATCATTATGTATCTTGGTGGCGAGTGTCTCTCATTATGTGTTGTCTTCATTGATGTTTAGTTAAAATATGTTTTACTAATAGTGAATACGTTAAAACAGTTTTATTTCCAAATTATGTCAACTTTAAAAAGCATAGAAATATACAAACACACAAATCGACAGACAAACCTACAAAAGAAAACATACCTTCGGTGTAATCTAATTATCCGTGGCGAGAATAGTTAGTGTAGTTACAGGGTGCATTTTCTGATCATTAAATTAAAATCCACGATAATTAGCAGCAATTGACAATCAAATTTCTTGAAATATTTCTTGAATTTTTTTTCACGGATTTCGAAAAAGATAAACGCATCTAAAACCTGGCGCTTAAACACAACTTAAACACAACACAATTTATAAGTTATCCGTCCGTGTCTTGACTGAAACACGAATCAATTAAAATTTAATCAAACACGTACTATGCTATAGCACAGACTCCGATCTCCGCCCCTCCTCCTGTGGTTATAAGTTCCGACCGTCCCGATAGCCGAATAATTGAATTAGCCGGGTGGTTTACCCTGGGTGGGTATTGTACCAGCCCGTGGGGCACGGAATCAGGAGCGTGCCCGCGCGCCGAATGGCTGGGGGTCCACCCCGTGGGTAGGCTGTGGTCGTGGACGGTATCCAGGCGCCGTCAAGCTTGTAGCAGACGTCTGCTACACTGGACGCCGCTGGTGATGTCGTCTGCACGTTCTAAATATAACACAAATCTCGGTACGGAAATTATGAAAAAAAAACTATACCGACGATAAAACTGTTTCTGTAGTGGTCGTTTAAAAAATGAAGAATATCCCGATGATAAGTGAAAGTGTATTGTTCTATTTTAATATATATTTTTTTCCTTTAACAAACAGATAGTATCGTGTTCGCGAGGTTGAAAAAAAGTCCGACTGAAAAATTTTCCGACGCCATTATTTCGCGTCGAAGGCGGCCATTCTTGTCTGCTTTTTATAAACCTGTCGGTGATTGGCTGCGCGGGGGCTTTGTGACCAATCAGGCGCGAAGTGGGCGGGGATTTCTTTGCCTTCACCGCGAGCCCGACCGCTGAAGGTGTTTGTGAACGGTGAAGTCTTAGGTTGTGGGGAGGATTGACGGTGGGGGTGGTGTCGGGGGGAGGGTGGGGGTGTAATACTTGAGGGAGGAGACACGTTCGGCAATGTACGGAGGGGGGGGGGGGGGGGAGTTAGGGAAGGAGGGGGAGGGGGAAGGGGAGGTAAAAAAAATTAAGACTGATTAAGCCACGGGGCATAAGGAAGTATGACAGAGCTAATGATATGGAAATATGGGGGGGGGGGGGGGGACAGCGAGGAAATATGGGGGGGGGGGGGGGGGGACAGCGAGGATTGCCTGGGTGATCGAAGACGGGGGTTGAACGGGGGGTTGAACGGGTAGCTTGAGCAAAAGCGAGGGCCGCGCCGTCGTCTGCTGCGTGGTCGCAAATCTGTCGACAGGCAGGGAAACGATCCCCTATCTTGCCGTGTTTGCCCGGGAGGGTGGGGGAAGGTGGGGGTGTCAGTAGCGAAAGTAGGCAAATCGATAGCCAAGCTAGTCGAAAAGATTTGGTCGTGTTCTTCTACTTTCTCTTTACAGTATTTCTCTCCGGCTGATTTAGAACGGTTCGTGATTCGTGAACAGTTGGTTGGTTCTTTTCCGTAAGGGGTACCAAAATGGCCGTTGCTGTATACCGATAGGTTTCAGTTAACATTAGTGGCACCTTTGAGAGAGTAGAAATGACATGCCGAGGTTGGTGTTTTTCTAGCTTTCACTGTTTAAACCCAGCCCTAGCCCTAGCCCTAGCCCTGGATAACCATAACCATAACCCAAACTTTATTCCACTATCCCTAGAACTATCCTTAACCAAGAGATTTGTAATCTTAATTCTAATCCAGACCCTAGCCATACATACATTACACCTAAACGAAATCTCAATAATGTGTGTGTAGTTTTCCACACAATGTTCATAGAACAACTTCATTTGTTTCAAGTTTTTGATTGGTTGACCACCATACAGCGATCGATGTGTATGATGGGGAGCAATGGCCGACTGGTCCCCTCTAACGGAAAAGTTGTGTTTCAAGCTGGTCGTGTCGGGTTGTAGATTTAATCAGGCCATTAAAGTGTAGCATAAACATGGGTGACTTTAAAAAATGGGCAGATTAGATGTAGGCAGGGGCAGATGAATGGATAGTGTGATTGTAGGTAGACTCTGGATTCCATCCGTTGACACGCTATCCACTACGTCCATCCATCCAAAGGGCCCGGATGATAAACGCCCAAGTTACGCCGGTAGGTCGCGATATGCGCCCTGTTAGATGAATGGCGAACTTATGAAGTGGGAATTCCCGCTCATTTCATGGAAAGCGGGGTCAAGACCTGCGGTAGTTTATGGCCACTTTTACTTGGTGGGGGGGGGGGGGGGGGGCATTGGTACTATTGCACGTAACAGGGTTATGGTCGGATTCAAGTGTTTAAATTTGGTTAAGGGTTAAAATAAAATTATAATTTGATGTTATTGCTTTGAGGGTTGCTTGATAGATGTGATATGTGATAGTTTGGTTCAGAATAAAGGATTTTAGCTTTTTTTATATTTTAAACTGTTTTTTTAATCATTAACGACGAAATAATTTTAAAAATTCGTTTAGATAATGTATCCCTATTCCAATCTTGCACTAGTTATAGCACTATTACAATCTTGCACTATTAATAGCACTATTTCAATCTTGCACTAGTTATAGCACTAGTCCAATCTTGCACTAGTTATTGCACTAGTCAAATCGTGCACTAGTTATTGCACTAGTCAAATCGTGCACTAGTTATTGCACTAGTCAAATCGTGCACTAGTTATTGCACTAGTCAAATCGTGCACTAGTTATTGCACTAGTCAAATCGTGCACTAGTTATAACACTATTCCAATCTTGCACTAGTTATAACACTAGCCCAATCTTGCACTAGTTATAACACTAGCCCAATCTTGCACTAGTTATAACACTATTCCAATCTCGCATTAGACCTTGACCTATTCCGATATTGCACTAGACCCAGCCATGGTCTAATATTGCATTCGTGAGTAACGTACCTATCAGAGCTGGGTGGACTCAGGGATGACCTAAATCCCAACTCGAGGCTTTTGAGTTAGTAGTCGAAAGCTCTAGCACACTGCCCAGCCTAATTAAATTAATTAATAATCTTCACACATGTCAGATAATTGTATTTAAATAGTAACATCAAGACAGCTCCAAGAATATAAAAATTTAGCAATTATAAGCAATTGAAGAACTGTATGTTAATATGGCGAAAAATAAAATTCTTCTACGCAAAATCGTATAGATAAGCATACAATAAAATTACAACTAAAGTTATTTAAATATTTCGTAATCGTTACTTTACCTGTTCAGAACATTTAAAGTCTGACTTTATTCCTAGCTACTCTCTAACCCTAAACCTAACATAAAACCAGTAATTTTCCAAGCCCAAACTTTATGTTGAGATAATCGAATCAGTGAGTAGAGTTATCCTAACAGCAACAAGTTGTCTACCTTTGTTTAAAAGTTCTCTTTATACAAGACATGATCACCTCCACCCAAGTATACCCGCAGTTACCCCTCTTTAATTGGCGACACCTAGTTGCCGCCCCTGATTAACTCGGCCATTATGTCTTACTCTACTGACCGTTAATGATACGAATGAGGTCTTAACCTGTGAGGAAGAAATCATACAGTACTGATAGTTATTGTATGGGTGTGGTGGGATTTGGCGCTCGTGGGGTGTATGGAGGTGGTGGGAGGTGTAGAGAGGTGTAGGGGGTGTCAGTGAGTGTAGAGAGGTGTAAGGAGGTGTCGGTGAGTGTAGAGAGGTGTAGGGAGGTGGTGGGCGGTTAGGGAAGTTTAGGGAGGTGCAGGGAGGTGAAGGGAGGTGTCGATGGGTGTATGGAGGTGGAATGAGGTTGGGGGGGGGGTGTTGGGAAATTCCATGACTACGTAGCTAATATCGTCCATATTTTTAGCCTCATTTTCTTGAGAGATTTATCCAACGGAATCGAACGGAAAACGATTGTAGGAAAAAAAGTCACAGGAAAAAAAAACACAGGAAAAAAAAACACAGAAAAAAAGTCACAGGAAAAAAAGTCACAGGAAAAAAAGTCACAGGAAAAAAAGTCACAAATATATATTTGCATGATATTTGTTAATTCTTTTATGTATTAAATATTTAGAGAGTGCAAATTAACTTAGGATTAATTAAATGTAATGTAATGTGTGTAGGCTGTATACGCATAGGAATTTTTATAATTCATATACAAATATTTATTATGAAGCATGTAGATAGTAATTATTTTAAACTTAAGATTAGTAGCATTTAATAGAATGCTCCAAAGTCCACGTTTTTCATCGTGTTTTTTTTTTTTAAATACCAATATTAAATTAACGTGAAATTGTAAGTTCATCTGACTTGCTGCCCTCAACTCATGGCAACAATAGTTATGTTTAGTTCAACCACCTTTACTGCCCACATTTATCACGCTCATTACATAACAAAACTTAGGATCAAAACAGAAAGCCGACAAGGTTCAAAGGCTGTCATTGACGCATAACGTCAGCAACACAAAATATGTTCGGACAATGCCTACTGAGGAGAGGCCGACCAGAGAATAGCCTACGGCAAAATGTGCCAAAATTTCTTTTATAATTAACTTTTCTACCGCGTATTTAACTAAATATGTAACAAAAGTTGAGATTGTTGTGTTAATTATCTTAGAGTATTTTTACTTACAATTGTTATAAATCATAATGCTTTTAACGTCTATAAATATTTATGCCATCAAAAAATACAACCCACAACAATAAACATACAAAATTTTACAATTCTTAACAAATTAATAAAAATATTTCTAAACAGATTTTTGTGACTTTTTTTCTGTGACTTAATTTCTGTGACTTTTTTTCCGATAAAATTTTTCCACTGTGACTTTTTTTCTGTGACTTTTTTTCCTAGCAAAAACTGTGACTTTTTTTCTGTGTTTTTTTTTCCTGTGACTTTTTTTCCGTTTACCCGGAAAACATCGGGTTAAAACTGGGTCTCTCAAACACTCGACCACACCCCACATTAAACAACATTGACAGTTACAAAATCTTGGTGAAAAGTAATGACTACAAATATAGCGATACTGAGGCTTAAAGATAGTTTCCTGTTAATATATTTACAAGATCATAATTTCTGTGATTTGACTATAAATATAATTTTGTGCTAGTCACATGGCCAGACTGTGTCATGATTTAGTCACATAACTGTATGTAGGCCTATATGATGTGCTAGTCACGTGATTAGATCGTGTATGTGGTGAGTCAAATGGCCAGACTGCGTCGTGATTTAGTCACATAGCTGTATGTAGGCCTATATGATGTGCTAGTCACGTGATTACATCGTGTATGTTGTGAGTCACGTGACCTGCTATCCCACACAGAATGTCGGCGTCGGTACAACAACTGTCAGACACCATCAGCTGTGTGTTCACATTACTACACATTACTACACATATGTATGGCCAGATTAAGGACGCCATTGCACGCATGTACCACATACAGCATACACATGCATACACACACCCGTGCATACAACTATTGACACACGCATTCAAGAACACATGCATGCTCACACTAAGTGAACCCTCAAT